GACAACATCTCCTGGGAGCAATGAAGAGATACTGCCATTTTCCTCTTAGGGGATATTGTTATTCAGCTAGGAAAGATCAACCTCGATGGACTCACAGGGGAAATGCTCGCAAACAAAAGAGAAAGTTTGTCAATTGATTTCTATACTGAGGGTAATCACCATTATATTTTATCTCAAAAGCTCACACAGTGATCAACTTGGAATACAATTAATGGAGTATTTTTCTAGCAGCATCTACTGACTGATATTAGCCAGATGTCTCATTAAAATCAGCAGTGACAAACCTTAGCTCTTTACCAGCAAAATGCACTTTTGCAGCCTAATTAAATTTTTTTTTGGCCATTATGTTTGTAAGACTGAAATCAAGTCAGTTTGCAAAAAAGTGCTTTGGAATGTTTTCATATAATGATTCCATGCAATCGTTCCATGCTTTGAAAATCTTCAATCTTTGAAAGCTAATACTGATAAATAAAATTAATGCTGGAAGAGACTGCTTTGTGGCAAACCATGCCAGGAATAAAGGAAAAATTAACAGAAACAATATGTGCTCTGAAAAAAGCCATAACTAAACCCCCCCATAACTTTTGAAAGACTGAGCATCACACAGAAGGTCACATTTAAAATACTCTTTTTTTGCTCAATCATTTCATATTTTCAAGTTCATTAGGATTTTTTTTCTTGAAGACTTGATAATTTCTTGAACATCTGGAAGAAAAAGCTATTTAGAGCCTTAAGCATTTTTAAGGATATGACTCGATACATTGCAGGATCATCTGCAATACACTCAAGATGCACCTACAGCAAGACATGAGGCTGATCTCTTACAAGCACAGCTTAATACTCTGATAGGTCCTTTTTTTCGTCATACAAAGTATGAGAGTAATTTCAAATAATTTATAGGTGGGAGGACAGATAGATCAATGTGCCAGTGCTATGCCCTTGGGTTTTGTGAACTGCCTAGTTTTCCTGTTTCACACAAGCTCAAGCCGTCTGGGCTTCATGTCTTCACAACCAGAAAACAGTCAGCCTATTGTCTACTGAGGAAAAACCAAGGACAGATTTTAGAGGAATTTAACATCTTTCTACATGTGCAGGTAATGATAGGACAAGGGGGTTTTAAACTAAAAGAGGAGAGATTTAGATTAGGTACTAGGAAAAAATTCTTACTGCGAGGGCGGTGGGCCCTGGCACAGGTTGCCCAGAGAAGCTGTGGATGCCCCATCCCTGGAAGTGTCCAAGGCCAGGTTGGACGGGGCTCTGGGCAACCTGATCCAGTGGGTGGCATCCCTGCCCATGGCAGGGGGGTTGGAACAAGATGACCTTTTGAGTCCCTTCCAACCCAAACCATTCTGTGATTTTGCCACAGAAATGTGAAGTGCAGCCTCTCCTGCCTGAGGGATCCTGGAGGTGTTCCAAGTCGTAGTCAGAGCAAACGTGACAATGAGCTGGTAAAAAAACTGCATTATGGTTCTGATTCCTGCCAGCTTTTACAACTTACTGTCCTGCTACCATAGCCCTGCACACAGGTTGATGGGAGGAAGCCACAGACACTTCTGTGGCCATTGCCTCCAGGGCTGTCAGCTCAACGTTCAGCTCTGAAACCATTATGTTACATACTCCAACTCATAAAAAAGAGTCCATAACTCTTTTCTCTGAATACTTGCTAAATTACTTCCCATCAGTGCAAAGCTGCTGCAAAAACAAGTTCAGCAACAGCAACCCTGCATTCATGCTGTGCTGCTGACACATTTCAATGTAAGAATGTCTACCTTATGCTGATCTGCAATAGGATCCCCAGAACAATTAACAGATCAATGTGCACCCAAGTTTTCCACTTGTTTGGTTCTGTTTCTCATGGTAACACTGGTCTGATATTAGTTTTGCTGTTGATGGCAACAATGAATAAGACAACCAAATCCGTTTCCACACTTCCATGGCTGAGAAAAAGCTGCTTTGAAATGAACTTTAGGTTGTGAGTTTAAAAAACCCAGATATACACAAGCATACAAGGATGGATTTCCAAATTGCCATTTTTGTGGAATATTTTATTGTAAATAAAACAAAAATATTTTAAAATGTTTGTATTTCAAACATTTTAACACAAACCTGCAGAAATCATAAGAGACAAGTACAAAACCATAGGATTGTGGGGAAATATAAGCAACTTTCTCTTTTTGTGCAGAAAATGAAAAGCCAATAGAAAAACAAAACACTTAAGCAAACAAGAAAAACATTAAATATTATTTTTCAAAGGAAAAATTGCAATCTTAAAGCATCTCCTCAAAAATTCTCAACATAAATAATGGACTTTTATTGTTCATTTACTGCAAGGTTAGGCAGCCTGATATGATGGATGAACTGTCAACTCTCAACTAAACTTCTACAATCCATCACAGAAAGACTGGAAATTTCACTCAAAGTGTCAATAAACCTAAATGATGAAGTGCAAAATACTTTACAGCATTATGATCATTTTTTAGAACCTGCATTTGCTGCAAAATTTCAGAAACACTGCTCTTCCCCCACTTCCCTCCCCTTCTCCCTGGAAGTCATAAAATGCAGGTATACATCTTGATTTATAAGTCAATGATACCACAGAATCACAGAAGAGAAATGAAGTTTCCGTAAGAGTGTGGTGCTGGGAAAAACAGTATTTATAAAATAAGCTATTTTACTTTACCCGAACATCAAAGATGGCCAAGATTTTGCGAAGATTTCTGTTGAATCAGTTATTTAAATGTGGTCATATTAAGAAAATCAAACCAGGGCTGCAGTGGAGCTTGATCTCAAGTCAAATCTGACCCTGCCTTGAGGCAACTAGAATTATCCTATGGGTTGATGACAACTAAAAACAGGAGGGGTTTTTTTTGTGTATGCACAATAAAACACGCAGATTTCCATTTAATAAAACCCAAGATGTTACTGTGTCTTTACTTAATTTGGTGACAATTGACAAATAAATATGAAGTATTTGTACGCATCTGCTAATTCAAAATTATAACAATGATTTAAACTATATACAGGGGAAAATTTCACTTTAGGACACCAACAAACTCTTATGCAGGCTCTTAGCAAAAACACTGGCAAATGCAGCAGCATGGACTAACACCTAGACTCATCCAAAAATAGGAATTCCTTTGTTTGATGTAGGTATCCAAGACTTTCTTATCAGCTTAAGTGGTTTACATCATACAGAAACATATTTTTTGTGTGTGTATCAGAGGAAGTCTGCATCTCTTCTTCTTATACACGTGCAAATCCAAATAAACCAGTTCAGGCAGACTTAATCACAGTATAATAAATATTAGCCAACAATCACCATTTTAGGGTGGTAACTGAGATGTGACTTAAAGCTAAGCATGAAACTCCAGCAAGAGTTTCACAATACACTAGACTGCAAAAAGTTTAGTTTTTACTACAGATCTCAGAGCCTAATGCAAACTTTTGTCAAATTTGAGGAGGATATTTTAATAAATTACAGAAAGCATTTATAATCTGCATTGAATATAAAAGCAAATTACTGAGACAATAAAAATCTATAAAAACTAGGCCATCCTGCCTTTGCTTATAATGTAGTGTTTAAAAACTCAATGCATTACTTAGCCAAGCTAACACCAGACTTTGTCATCTGTACCTCATCTTTATCCCAACTGTCCTGCCTAATGGCAGGACAAAAATCCTTCTAATTGATACTTTTATCACTTATTCCACCAAAAGAAGCAAGTTGTGCACCAAAACTAAGTCAAGTCATAAAGGTATCCTCACAGAGGCATCAATCTAAACACTTCTAAATGTTCATGTTGGAATACCTAATTTATTTTAGCTTTAAACACATTCCTAACATCTTTATTTCAGAAGTCACTCACACCCTCCCAATGAAGTATGTTAAATAAAAATATTTAGGTATCTTCCCTGACTCATACTTCAAAAATGTAACACAAAATACACAACACAAATTGCATGAGCCCTTGAAGAAAAAGAGGGACATGTTTCATCAATAAAAAAAAAAAAATCAGTGTTTCTCCATTTTCTCATAACTACCAGATACTGAATGAAGAAATGTCATAGAATGAATGTGTATTTATGGGAATTCATACTGAACAATGTCGGCACAACTTCAAAGAAGTGTTTGAAATATGCCCTAGTACAGAGTTTTCATTTAATTCTAAAGCTCAGATTGAAAACTTTCTTTCTTCTTTTCTTTCTTTTCACACTGACTAGTGTCTGATAGACAAAAACTCAATTGAGTGATATCACATTTAGGTTTGCTGAGATTCTTCACTCTATTTAATGCAGCATAATCTGTAAAACTAAGATGAATAGTTTGTGCTCACTGTAATTACAACTCCCCTCCAACCGAATTCCACACCCTTTCTAGAATTAGTGTTCTGTTGAACTAAGTCACAATAATTTACATAAAATGCAAATACTAACTTGCATACAATAAATAAAACATATATAGTAAAAACCCTGGTTATCAGATTCTGAACCTAATGCTGTATTTGTTCCCCCCAGCTTTCACATCCAAAGTTCATGAACCTCCCTGTTGGAGAAGCTCTCTTTGCCATATGAACTGCTGGGTGTTCAACACACTAGCTACAATCTACACCTTTCCCATTTCTACTTTGTTTTTCACATTTTTACTAAACTCAGAAAAGCTCTTCTGAGAGCAGTGACTGCATCACTCTTGAGCACAGGGGAAACAACATGTCTGAACAGAAAACTTGTACTTCAGAAAATGGGCTAGAGAACAAAACAGAATGATTCTAATGCTACAGCTCCTTACCTTTCCCTCTCCTCATCCACCTCTATTATCCTGTAACACTATCACTGGAGTTTTATATCCATCTCTCTTTACAGAAAGGGCTTATTTGACACCTCTATACTGCAGAAATGAATGTTTCAAGGCAAGGACTGATGATAAATGAAGCATAATTAGTGCATTGTCTCTCAGTCCAGTGCAATACTGACCATATATGAAGAAACTAAAACTGTCTTACCGTGCACTTTGTGCTCATTGTAATGCTCAGGGTGAAATCTGAAGAGAATTCCAAGTCTGGAGAGGATGCAGTATTACAGTCGATATGCTGTCAAAAAGAAGAATAAAATTCTGTCAGTAACAGTGATTAATGTCAATTAAGATCTCCCTTTGGATGAAGGTTGTTCAGTCGGTCCTGCAATAGGACAACTTTTATAGGGCAATACTAATTCAGCTCTCCAAAAATGGGAGAGACTTACAAACCATCTAATTCCATGTGACAAAATACCTCTAACTCCTTTTCCTCACGTGCCCAAATAACCAGACACTGACTAGCAGTGGTATGAAACTAGACACATTCTGTTCAGGGAATGAGGAAAGGGAAGTTGCTCCTTGGTGACAGCTACCCGTTGTTGAGTGTAAGTAGCTTCCACAGGCACCTTTACCTGTTTTACCCCTTGTTCCTGCAGTCGCATAGTGAACTACAGTATGACACTGATATGGGTTAAAGCTGGCCTTTTTCAATTTCCCAGACTGGTTTTGTATTGATCATAGAATAACTGAGGTTGAAAGGGACCTTAGGAGATCACTAAGTCCACTGCCCTGCTCAAAACAGGGTCAGCTACAGCAGGTTGCTCAGGACCATGTCCAAACAGCTTCTGAAAATCTCCAAGGATAGAGACTCAGCAACATCTCTGGGCATGCTGTACCACTGCTCAAATGTCCTCACAGTAAAAGTGTTTCCTAATCTTTAAAGGTAACTGCCTGGAGATCAATCTGTGCCCACTGCTTCTTGTCCTGCCCCTGAGCACTGCTGCAATGAGTCTGAGTCTGGCCCCACCTCCTGTATTCACCACCACCACCACCAGGAATTTACACACATTGGCAAAATTTCCCCTGAGTCTTCTCCACACAAAACAATTCCAGCTCTTTCCACCTCTGCCCACATCAGAGATGCTCCAGCCCCTTCACCACCTTTGCAGTCTTCAGACTCACTCCAGGACAGTCACCTCACTCTTGCATTGGGGAACTCAGGGTTGGACACAGTACTACAGAATTCACCTCCCTGGGGTACAGCCAGCTCCCTGGGGTGCAAGAGAAGATGCATCTCTCTTGAGCTGCTGGTCCTAAGTCTTCTTCCTAACGCAGTCTAGGAGGCTGCTGGTTGTTGACTTTGCCACAAAGGTGTGTTTTGCTGGCTCATGGTCCACTTGATGTTAACCCAAATTCCTCTCTGCAAAGCTGCTTTCCAGCCAGTAGGCCCCCAGCCTCTGCTGGGGTTATTCTTCCTTCCCCTCTGCAGGATTTTGCACTGCACAAATTGTAACTTTCATTTCGATAGTCTAATTTTTTACTTTTATATCTATCTGAAATCAGAGCTTTCATAGAAGAATAAGCTTCAGTTTTCAGCTGTTCATAACAATTCCACCAGATCTTTTCTCTGTTCATTAGTTTACATACTCAGTTAAAAATGCTTTATCCAAAAATATCATATACTACTAAAGTTAAAAGCATATATGTAGGCAATCCAGGAGACTCCTGGAATGCATGGGGGATAACTTTCTGAGCCAAAAAACAGACAGCCCTATCAGAGGGAATGGGATACTGATGGTCACCAACGTAGGCAAACTAACTGGGGACATCAAGACTGGAGGCAGCCTGGGCTGCAGTGATCATGCACTGGTGGAATACACAGTCCCAAGGGATATGGGTCAGGTAAGGGGTAAAGCTAAGCCCCTGAACTTTAGGAAAGGGAGTGTTCAGAGCTGGCATGTATTTAAGGAAGTCTCCCATAGTGCACAAGAGCTGGTAATCCCCAAGAGCAAGAAACTGAGTTCCCCCTCAGTAAGCTGAGCGGTGCAGGTGACACACCTGGAGGACAGGTGTGCCCAGAGGGGCCTGGACAAGCTACAGAATTGGGCCTCTCATGAGGTTTAACAAGACCAAGTGCAAAGTGCTGCACCTGAGGGTGGGGAGGCCCTGGCACAGGTTGCCCAGAGAAGCTGTGGCTGCCCCATCCCCAGAAGTGTCCAAGGCCAGGTTGGATGGGGCTGTGAGCAACCTAGGCTAGTGGAAGGTGTCCCTGCCCATGGCAGGGGGTGGGACTGGATGAGCTTTAATCCAAAGCTTTCTATGATTCTTCACACTGCCTCATCTTTCTTAGGGAATGTTTTGCTTCCAGAAAAGTTACCTTATGAACTATATAAAACAAGCAGCACCTGATCTGAACAAACACACCAAAGTATCTTCTGCAATAATCATAATGATAAATTGGAACATTTTTAAACTTACCCTACAAAATATAGTCCATTTGTTCTGCGGAATGGCTATTGATTCAAACAATTTACCTATAATGCCATTGTTGCTCAACTCATCAATTTTACTACTTTGCATTGAAACTCCAGCAAACAAACACACGCATTGATTTTGAGCTATTTTAAAAACCATGATGGCTAATGAGAACAAATGAGCATAAAGCCATTAACAGTTATGCTACAGGCTGCATGATGATAAAATTTGCTAAGCCCATACCTCTGAGCTGGACAGTGACTTCTCATGAACAGCATATGTATTACAAAGAGACATGTGTGCACTATTACTAGTAAAGCATTTTGCTTCTGAAATGACCATGGTTTATAAACTGCATTGGACATATTTAACTTCAGTTATTGTTATCAACACTCTTCAGGTTGATATGTTGTTTTAATTTATTTGCTTGCCTAACAAACTGATCACTCACTCATTGCACCACCAAAACTGTCAAATGGCAAACAGTTACTACTTAGATTCTCGACCTCAGTACCTTTGTTTCGTGCACGCTCATTCACTAAGGCTGGAATTTACCTTCCCTACTATGACAGGACTATAAAGTGTATTTCAACAACTGAGTCTCAGCACTTCCTTTATTTGAATACCCAGTTTAAAAAACCTAATACCTTTAAATCTTCTCTGTAATAAAAACACAGACAAGAAAAGCTTAAGTAACTTGCACTTGGATATACTTACAACTAAGCTGCACCTCCCCTGTTTCAATACATTTAAACAGAAATTACCTCCTTACTAAACAGGTAATTCCCACTGAGGGCAGTAATATTACTGCTTTGAGTGCTTTATAGTAGAAAAGTAACTATATGAACAATAATTAGAATACCATTGAGGCAAAATGTTCTTGGTCTAGAATAGCCCTTCTCTCAATTGATCTGAGCTGTTCAAACTATTACTAATCACAAAGTTCACCACAAGTTCAAACTAGTCAGTGCTCTGGAACATGTAGATGTTCTCTCATATGAATCACTACCAACTTTGCTGCTATTCCTCATCATAACACTGCCTTACAAGAGACAGGACAGAAAATCAGGCATAAATAATTCAGGAAGTACTGTAGGAACTTTCAGCCCTGGTTATTTGGCTGGATGAAGCTTTGGGTGATGGTCCAAAGGACCTGTAACACCAGCTATCTTAACACAGAAATAGATAAGAAGCCCCTTTGCTCAGTACACTGAGTGAAGAGGGAAGCAAAGTAAAAGAAGAGACGATATTACAGTTTACATTCCAGTTCCACAACTTGTAACCTACTAAAATGCAAGTTAATTTGGGGTTTGACAGAAGAAAACATTGGACAGAACAACTTAAACAAGGGAAGACTACTAAAAGCTCAAAGTTGGTAAAAAAAAAAGCAACTGATACAAATCTTCCAGTCTTAACAGCAAGAACCTTATTGCATTTGTATCATTTTGAAGATGCTGAAGTTTGTGTGTGCCACCTGCATTTTTCCCCCCTCCCCCATAAACCAAGGAAACTTCTAATCTGACTACTATTCATTAAGTAGTATGGTACCTTAATGACACTGGTTGAAGATATCAGTGTGTTTGGATCCAGCACCTCAACAACAGCTTCTGGAATTACAGCTTTCTTCATACAAGACATGTCGAAGCCATATACATCTTCCCAGAAAAGTAGCTTGTCCATATGTTTATTCATATCCCCAACAGCTACCAGACTAATGGTGCAAATGTCAGGATAAACTGTAAAAGAAAGAGAGTAGTGAAATTTTATTTTAGACACACATAAAGAGGACTTTTTCTTTTCTAAGTGATTAACATCTTAAAAGAACAAACAGAATAATTTTTTTTAGCTCTTGGACAAGACACTTTTTCTGCTACTTTACTTTGTAGAGTTCCATTAGTCCTCAGAGGAGACTAGGACAAGACACTTTTTCTGCTACTTTACTTTGTAGAGTTCCATTAGTCCTCAGAGGAGACTAGACTCAAAAATTTAATAATATTTCCTATTCATGACAAAACACCTTTGTAGTTGAAATCCTACTGCAAGGAAATGATCAGAAACTTGATGTCTGAAGAAAATAATTCGGAACATCCTATTCTGGCTTCTATACAAAGACTGATCTAAAATATATTTAATAACTGTAGGCAGACACTCAAAAGGAAAATTCAGGTGAGGGCTTTGCAATAACAAGAAACCTCTTTGAAAAGACCTTACTTGCAGAAAAGAGTAAATATTCTTACTCAAGAGTTTTATTCCTTTTTGTTATCAGCTCTAGCTGACACTTGCCTTATAGCCTAAAAAATTATTTCTGGGTACTGGAAAAGAATAACCACTTTTCTGTCTGCACCTGAAGTGTAGGAAGTGAACCAACAGACAGCAGAGAACCTCATCAACTCCCTCCCTCCCACTTTTAGGATAACAACTATCATTCTTACACTATCATTCTTCACATTTGTGCCTTCTTTTCTCCCAAGAATATCTTCAGAGCAGGTAACTATTTACAGCTTTTCCAAACAGTAGTGGAAGACTGACATTTGCCTTTTCAACAGCTGCCAACAAAGTCAGTCAACCTCTTGGCAATCTCAAATGATTGGAAAACCCACAAAGAAGAGCTGCTATGAACATGGCTGTCTGTAGCACTATCAAATAGTAAAAGAAACTCAATTTATATTTAGCAAGGCTTCTTTTCACAAAGACATTCCCATGGTTTTTTTCTTAAGAGTATTAAAGACTCTAAAGCCACATACATTGAATTCTTGATCTGGCTTCAGAGCAAAACGCCTGCTAACAAACACCTTATTTTATTTTATTTTTAATTAATACATGAATGTGGCAGTGTTAATAAAACTGAAGCTAAGTTTCTCTTTTCCTCCCCAAAATCTGGTGAACTGTAAAATTAATTTTGTCTTCTGCTCTGTTTAAAATTATAGTTCAGCAAAATGGATATGGAGACAACATTGGTATGGCATGTTAAGTCAGAAAAGCAGTACCTCCTGCCCTGTACAATGCTGAAGATAGAAACAACAAATTGAAATAAGACCTTTCATATAGCCAGAGTAGTTGTAGCCTAAACAAAATAAATCTTATAAATATTGATGATAGAGAATAGTTTTTTTAAAGAAGCTTTTTTTTTGTTATATAAAGACTTGAAAGTAAGCACACTGTCATCTTTCTCACTTTCTGACTGTTTAAAACAGAATGAATAAATATCAGCAAGCTTCAATTGGAATCCTATTGGTAGGCTATTATCACCCCTACTTTGCAACTGAGGAACCCTGAGGAGGTTTCTCCAGGAACAGCCTACAATTAACTCAGCAGTAAAAAGGCAGTTTGATGAGAATTCAAACAGGAAGACATTCCAACTGCCTTGTCTGAAACAAATCCCTTGGTTCCAGCACACCTGACAGCTGTCACACAAGCACAAAACATCAACATCTGGTGGTAGGAGTATTTGCAGGGAGATTCTGGAGCCATCAATAAGGGATGTCTAATTCTCAAAGCTTTCATGCTGCTGTTACCTGGTGTAACAACTGCATCACACTTGGCTTTACCTCACAGCATTTCAAACCTTCAAGAACCACCACTGATGCTCCAAAAATTAAAAGACAGTGTGACATGGACAACAAAAGCAAATGAGAACAGCCTTTGAGGGACTATTTTTCAGGGAAATAGACTTAGTAGGATGCAGTGGTACGGTGAGAAGAGAGATGAAAAGACTGGCAGTCTGTAAATAGGCAGTCCCTATTTACAGAAGACACTTATGTACTAGAAACAGTGCAACAAAAATGAAAACCACAGTAATAAGTGATCAAATACTTTATGATCTTCCTTTCTCAGACTAGCTCTAATTTCTGGGACATTCTGTAAACAGAAAAGAAGTTAATCAACCTCTATCAAGCATGAAATATTTGAACTGGATCATAATCAGTTTATATTAAATCTCTTTGTTCATACAGCAAATCCTTAAATCAGCAGTGGAGCTCATGATCGATTGTACAAAGTGCACAAGAACAAGGACAAATGTAAACACTAAATGCTCCAATCTAATCTGCATTTTTACTTTAGTCTATTAATAGCAACAAAAGTAGACAGTGTCTGTTCAGACTTCACAAAAAGAAACCTGTGTTCCACCAACAGGGCTCAGGTAAAGACTGCAGTGATACATTAACTTCTCAATTTACAACCCCACTCACATCCAGAAGCATATGCTATACTGAGGTTTGACTGGAAATGTAAGCAATGTTATCTAAAATCAGCCTAATCATCAAAATATTGTAGAGTTTTGTAAATGTTTAAAAGCATCTGCATAAATCGCATTTGCCATTTCACCACTATCCTCAATTCCCTTGGAAATCCTCTGCTCCTTCTGCAGCCCTGTAACACTTCCCTGTGCAATCCTGACAGACTTGCCATTTTTTTTTTCCTCATTCAGCCTTTAATTTAATAATTATTCCTCCTTGCAGGTGAAATGAGCAAAATGCTGATTGGACAGAAGCGCACACTCCTCAGAGCTCTCCCAGATTCATCGCTTTGACCATCTGTGTCCTTCTCGACTCGGTGCCCACAACTCATCCGTCACCAGGAACAGCTCACGTGGTGAGCAGGAGATGACGGGAAATCCTTTATCCCTCAGCACTGCCTCACAAACTTCAGGACGCTGAAGGGTAAGGCAGCAATCCTCCAGATACACAGAAATAACTCTGGGTGAATACCACCATCGTTTTGATGTGAACAAGCAAACGATATTATGTTCTGAATGGCACCTTCCTTGCCCATGTCACCCCTCACCAATGGGAGCTGAAATCAAGCGTGTGAAAACCCCTATACTCCAGCAACAGCTCTAAAGAACAAACAGATGGGTCCTGGGCAGCAAAAATTTTATGTTCCCAAATAAAGCTATTAAATACTGTACACATTACCCTAGACAGTTTGGCATAATCTACTTCAACATGCCAGTAGGCTAAATTGAAGTAACGATGATATGACTGACTGAACACAAATCTAGAAATTTGGACTCTACTGCCAGCTCAATCACTGAGAGATCTGGCCAAGTCACAGCTGCTTCTGTTGCTTTTTTCAGCTTTCAAACCTCTGTAATAACGATCTTGGGCTAATAGTACCAAGTGGCTTAAAACAAAATTAAGTAGATTTAGAAGTTCTTCTGGTGAGACTTTACCTCAGAGTGAGCTCTTAGTTTTGGTTCATCTGAATTTGCATGTGCCCACAGTTCTGCTGCTGTTCATCTCCACTGCAGGAGAGTCTGTGTTGCTAAGTTGATTGCTGAGCAGCTTTCTCACAAATCCTGGACACAGTCATTGACCTGCCAGACCTGCTAGCAGCAGAGCAATAACTGCAAGCACCTTAATGAAACAGTGTTAACGAAAATTAAAATCTGGCCTTACCAATGAGTGCCTGTACAACACTGTGTGCTTTGTGAAGAGTCAAAGAAGGGCCCAAGACCATTCTCAGACCACAAAGGGTAAGTGTATTGCAGAGCCAGCACATCCTGTCTGCTCAAAGGAATCTTTGGGAGTCACAGACCAACAGCAAACTTACCATCAATACAGTTCCAACACAGGTCAAAAAATTCTGGCCCTTTTCAGAAGGCTTTGGAAATAGTAGCTAAATACAAAATGATTCCTTATGATTTTAGGGAATGTCCTTGAATTTAATTGCGTCACAATGTAAAATTATCAGCATGTATCCATACAGACCACTCAGTGTGCTCCTGATCTGGCTGGACTATTCTACATTACTGAAAACAAAAAAAGCTCTTACTCTGTCATGTTGTTCAAGTGGCTACTAAATATTCTAACACATATCTTGTCTGTATATTCAGCTTTGTGACCAAATGTTGAACAACTGCACAAACTCCCTTTTTTTGGCTCCACTCTATAGTGTACAAAAGCTCACTGCAATCAAAGGGAAGCACTGCAGCAAGCCCTGTGACACAGTCATTAATCCAATCATTAAGTCAGTGTAGTGAAACTATGTGCATGGTTAGCACAAAGGGGGAAAAAAACCCCAGACTGATGACTACGATTGAAAAGGTCAATATGAAATACAATACTGACAAAGGAATTAAGCACAAGGAATAAAGCACGTGCAGAACTTGTGCAGAAAACTGCATCAAACGAAGAATTAATATTTACTGACACTTAAACAGTGCTTCAGATGCCACTGTCTAAGCTACTTAAATGGGTAAAAGAACACTACTTCAAAATAAACCCTTTTGTCACAGCCTTACCCTCCAACTATAAAGAAAAAGAGCATATTACCACCAGGATAAACATGCTGAACTGAAACAGTCTAATTCCACTACTTATTTCATGTGGTCTCTTGTGTTTGAAACTGTGTCCTCCCCCACAACGTTCCTCTCCAGAGAAACACCCTATTGATTTTTTCTCTAATCCATAGTAGCTTACTCAAACAGTATCACATCCTACAGGACAGTATTTATTTTCCTCCGTTCACAGTTATGCAGAAACTGGGATTTCGGGAGTGGAAAACAAATGCCCACATGTGTGGGAAGAATATGGGAGGAAAAATTCAGACTGTACTTAAGAATAAATAAGCCTGTCTATTCTTAAAAACACCATTAATTTGAGACCTTGATACCCCATCTAATGTTCTTCTATTACCCATACAGTAAATTAATGCCTTGAAGCTCATATTAATGAAAACATTTTTCATTGAGACTGGCAACTTTCTCATCCATGCATAGCTTACTCTAAGTCTCTGAGTTCATTTAGCTTCTCCCCAGAGCTAAATTTATTAAAAGAATTGAGCACCAACCTGAGCCTCCCTCTGCCAGGTACTTGTCCTTTGCATAGATGACAGAATCCAGCATTGACTCAAAGAGAAGGAAATAACCCTGTTTATAGAAGAAGGGAAAGAATTTAGAAATCATTACACTTCCTATGCAGCCTATTTAATGACTCTACAGGTAGATTTTATCAACACATTTTAAGAACTTTTTATATGCCCATTTGCCTCAAGAAGAGCCAGCACCTGGTGAGTTTGTCAACAGCAGCATTGTCACTTCAAACTTCAGTTATATAAAGTATCATACCTGTAGTTTGGGATTAATTAGAGATGTAGCACACACTAAATTAATAAACTATAGACAATACATATCCAATTTACACCAATATTTACCGGAGAGGAGTCCTACAACATCAAAAGAAATTAAATTCAACTCCAACCAAGTGAAAAGCTGCATGTATTGATTTTTTAGTAATAAATGGGAGGTTAAAAAAAAAAAAATCCCTTTTAGTAACACTAAAACTTATTGTCAGACAAACACCAAATGCATCTTTGCTACTTCATATTTGCAACCTCGTGGTGCCCTGTATCACCCTGGGCAATGCTCACTAAGGCAGGTGGAAATAAATTGTGTACCAAAGACATTGGTTCTCTGGGTGTTTGACATCATTTAGCAGCATCTGGACTTACAAAAATTTCCAGGATAAAAATGGTTAGAATTAGATCTGCACAGGGGTTTTTTTGTGTTGGGATTAATTTTCTGGCAGGTTAATCATACTGCTACTGGTGTTTAGAATAACTCATTGTAAGCTTGAGTGAGTCATTTTCTGAAACAGAAAAACGTTCCTTAAACATTTGAGACATTAAAAAACCCACATAGCAGTATTAAGTAAAATTAGCATTTTATAGAAAATATCCAGTTTCTCAAGTACTTTTAAATAAACTGCAGATTTATGAGATATACAGCCCTTTGTTTCCCAACAGATTTACTGATTTTATACCCTTCCTGTCTTCCAAGTTTGACTATGATCCTTATTCTTAACTCAATACTGTAAACATATTTCACCTACATCCTTACAACATCAAATCAATTAAGACAAATACCAACACAGGTTTTGAATTTTCACTTAACATCCTAATTCTCATTTTGCTTAAAACACAGATTAGCCATATGGCTTGATCAGGAAAGAACAAAATGGACAACTGAAGTCCAGACCTGCAGTCCTACAAGCCCAGTCAGCAGTAACCTAACAAAGGAAAGTTAAGAAATTGCATCAGGGAATTTCGGATTGGATATTAGGGAAAATTTCTTCACTGAAAGGGTTGTTAAGCACTGGAACAGGCTGCCCAGAGCAGTGGTGGAGTCACCATCCCTGGAGGTATTTAAAAGACGTGTAGATGTGGCACTTGGGGACATGGTTAGTGATGGGCTTGGCAGTGCCAGGTTAATGGCTGGAGACTCAATGATCTCAGAGATCCATTCCAACCTAAACAATTCTAAGATATTTTCCTTCATTTTTCCTACCCTCCCATATTTGTGTAGTCATTTTTTTGAATTTATTTTTTATTTTTGAAGTCATCATCACACTCTACTGAAGACAGACAGAACTTCATGAAACTGCACTGCTAAGACCACCAAATTTACTTCAAGTTTGTGCCACCTTGGATGTTAATTTTGCCTAAGACTCTTCGAACAAAAAATGCTGCAAGTTTAGAATTGCACATAAACGTCACTACCTGCAGCCTTCAGGATCAAAAACAAAACTGGAAACCCCAGAAACTTGACATATTTGTATTCAACAAGAATATAGTGTGAAAATAATGGCCATGTCCTCTTCTCAAGTCGTTTCTTTGTGGTAACAGGGCAGAGCTCCACTGGAAGCTTTTCTTCCAAATGTTGCCTGTTCTGCCCAACTTCTGTAAGTCTTTAGAATAAGTCTCAGAACAAAGACTATTGCATTGTGAGTAAGAGGATTGTTAGTAAGCTTTGCTAAACAGCTGAAAAGGCCAGGAGCTCACCCTGCACCAGGCAGAGATTATTTGATACCTACAGCAAGCCAAAAGCACAGAATTGGAACCACAGTTTTTATGGTATTATTCTTACAGCTTTAAAAATAGAATATGTTTAGCTAGGAAGAATTATTTTTAGATGCCTTCAACTGAAAATGATTTGTTCTCACCGTATTTTAAGTGTAACCTCTAGGACATACATTAAGACTAGTTAACAGCAAGAGTCAGTAACAGCAAGAGTCAGTCACACTTTTATGGATCAGCTCTTCACTTCCTCCTTTCTGCCCATCACCTATGTCTGCCAACCAAGTGCAAGAAGCACAGCTGGAAGACACCCTTCCTCATGAGAAACACAGAGAAATTCTCACCATCCTTTCCCTGACCTTTCCACTGTTGGTTCTCCCCCAGCTCCCAGTTCTATTGTCCCCTGAACTCATTACAGCCTTCCTGCAAGTTACATAAACCATCAACAGTACTGAATCAAGTCATTTATTACTTATCCCAAAGCACTGTGCTCAGTGTGCTGTGCTCCTCCGTGGTGTAATCTGGAATGTAATTTCACAGGCTGCTGCCCCACCTGTAGGGGTGCTCCTGGAAAACGAATTATACCTGACATCCTTTCCCCATGATGCTGTGGGGGCACTACTGCTGCCACCCCAATAATGCTCAGGGGTTTGCTTTTTCTTAAGCACGTATTAACATTCTCAAAATTAATTACTCCAAAGAGATCTCCAGGATACAAATCTGTGAGCTGCAAATTATTAGTACGATTTTGATAGTGGCTAAACCAAGGCACTTTCTCTGTTAAGATAAGGTGAATACACAGAACATCTTAAATGTTATGCTGTCGTAATGTGCATCTCTACTGAAAAGCTGACCATTTCCTTCTCAAAGTGAACATAAAGTTCCTTATTTTTTATAATTTGCAAAGCTGAAAGGAAATGTTCTCCGGATAACAACAAACCCCCATTTAAACAGATCTGGACAGGAACAGAAACATACAGCACTCCGGAGTAACCCCTGCCCTACCTCATGTCTGCCCAAGACACTCATCAAAAATGCTTGAGCCCACTAGCATATCTGAATCCAGAAGAATGTATTGCTACATTTCTTTTATATGTCCTTTGTATCTGTATTGTGTGTTCATAACAGAGTGATAAAAGGTTCACAAAACTTTGATGCCTCAATATCCCTCATTGTTAAATTTTTCTCTATGATTCAACTACACCACAGCATTCTTGTATTTATTTGCAATTTAATTCAAAGCTCCATAAAAATATTTTGCCAATGGATCAAAACATAAGTATGGCAAGTTTTTGTAACTTTAGTGCTTCGGTATTCATCATGATAAGCTTTGTGGAGAAAAAGAAATTAAGCTCTTTAAAAGTATCATTACCATGTTTACAACAGCAAGAATTAGCAGAATTTTTGGTACAGCAGAACAAAACATGTAAAGGTAGAATTGCGAAGAAATATTTAGCTACATGAAATAAGGGTTGTGTTTCCCCTCTGCCTTCTATCAGAGATGCATTTTATTATTTTCTGTAACATTACTGAACCTGGTCTGGTTCTCCAGATTCAGTAAGGTTTAATACTAAATATTTAATGAGATGAAAGGCCAAAACACTGGCCCAGAGAGTGGATTTTATATTTTTTAATCCCTAGTGGTAGAAAAAAGTGCATTATTTTCTTAAGCTGAAGTTTCTAACTACAAGATTCCCACTGGCCTACAGAGTAAAACACGTTACAACATGCAACACAGATTGGACAAGAAATTATGATTTCAGACAGAAAATGTAATCTGGCATTAACAGATACACAAAACTGATGTGGTCCACTCAACGATGTGAAAAATTACTTTTTACTTGACAAAATCTCCCCAAAAGCTGTGGTGCATTTAAATGACAAGCAGCAGCTACACAAACTCTTCTGCGTGCTCTGCTGCAGCACCATTTCCCACATGCTAAGTCAGCCTTCATGCTGATCTCTCATGTATGATTTAATTTAAAAAAAAAAAATCAAATTCATTACTGACAGAGCAAGCTGACAAATTTCAGAACCACAGCTTGACTTTGCCATTATGCACACCCTGTTGTGCCCTTAAACAAATAGGAGTGAGAACACCAAATGGGAAGATGTGAAGAGTAGAAAAGTGATATCCATTACTGGTGTTGGCAAAAAAAAAGAAAAAAAAAAATCAAGCAAGGAAATTAAATTCCTTTACAAAAACCATTTTGCTATAAAGAAAATAAAGCATTCAGCTACTTAGTATGCTCTTCACACCAGAGTATTAAGAACACAAAAAAAGAAAAGCTCAATTCTCACATATAGTTATAAATTATAACTGTTACATAAATAGAGCACTTGTATTAATGCACCTCCAAATATTAAAACAATAGAAAATATTAAGATTACAGAATGACTAGTAAGTGTTAAAAAAGTGCCATCACTGTGTATCTCATAGAAATAGGGGAAAGGAGGAAGGAGAGAAAAGATGGTTTCCAACGTTTCAGACATGCTCAGTTCCTAGTCCTTTTCCCTAGATCCTGATATCCTCAACCCATCATATAATTTCAAAATTATCTGAAAAAATACAAAAAGAAGAAAAGAAAAACAAGGAAAAAATATTAGCTATCTGACCAGAGATATGATTAGAAGACAAGAGTACTGGATTGTATCCTCAGTTTATTTTAATCTGACAGTCCACCTCTTTCTGAGTTTTTCCTTGTACAAAACTCTGCTGCATATTCAGTACCATAAAGCAGTGCATAAAAAAACCAATTTATGAGAACATGCTGTACACTAACATCGTATTTGAGACAACCATCTCAGGCAATTGTCTCTCACAATAAAACCTCTTTACAAACAAGAAATGCAGATATTTTTCAGGTGAATAACTCTTGCAACCTTTAGTTCTGTAGTATTAGCTAGAGAAAGGAAGCAAAAGCATACTGACAGGAAAAAGAAAAATCTGCACACAGATGCAGCTGTGTAGGAACATTCCAGAAAAGCATTACATACATTTTGTTTCTTTCTGCACTCGTCCTTTCAATAAGCAGCCTGTGAAGTTCACAATTTCCCTACCAAAATACATGAGCAATAACACAGTCACCTTTTTTTGTATCTTTAGTGCAAATATTTTCCTGCCCAGGTAATTCATGTAAGTTTACAGTTTGAACAACAACTAAGAGATTTTTTTGTAGGTGACCTATGGTATAAGCAGACAAGCAACACAATGTTAAAGACCTGTAGTCACTAACAATAAAATTCGTAGTTTCACAAATTAAGGCTTTTAAAGGTTTCACACTGAGCCAGGCAGGATGGTGCATCAGAAGCTTGAAGTCCTGACACAGAGTATCGAAGAATTTTGGTCAGGGAAACTGCTACAAAAACAAGGCCAGCAGGGAGATCTTCCATAAAATTCACCCATTCTTACATTCAAATAACCTTTCTGTACGAGTTGAAGGCCTTTCTCCTCACAGACCCAGTTTGGTTGTGGAACATGCTGTGACTCGGCCACTCTTCCTTAAGGCAACGTGGCTTATTGGGTGAAGTGGTCCTCCAGTCCACCTGCTCTCCCCCTGTGCTCCTGGTCCACAGCACACAAGAATCCCTTGCACACTGCACCAAGGTTTTGCTGAAAACAACATACAGCTGTCTTTGGAATGAAAAAGTCTAAATGGATGATCCAGAGGTCTTTAGAAGTCCGACAGGCCCTCAATGTTCAGCAATTTGCCTTTTTGGACACCAAGAGAACAGCTCACAGCTCATCACACCTCCCACTGTGCTTTTCTGTGCTTTACACACCAGTTTTAGTTGGACACAACCACAGAGATGTCCTGTTCATGGTCTGATTTTAACATTGTCAAACACATGTACTTCGGATGTCACAAACTGCATTTAGTACATTAAAACCAGGATCACTTCTAATTTCTTTCACAGCCTTAAATAAAACCACTAAAGAGACAGTTGCTCATCACTCAGCCTCTAAACTTGGCACATGACAAAACCATATCCAGGTGAATTTAAAATGGGAAAATATTTCTTGGAAGATGGCAAGTATACATTTGAAATATAAATTTCTACATATACACACATGCACTCACACCTCCCTGTCCATTGTATAATATTTAAGATGCTTCTCTCACTCTTCCATAGTTTAAGGGAACAAATTTAAAAATGAAAGAGAAGAATAGCAAGCATTTGTGAGTCATAGGTCACTTCTGCAATTAAGAGAATAATCGTCAGAAACTATTACACTGGAGATGCTCATAATGCAATGCTGCATCTTTTACAAGACACTGTTCTATGTGACATCTTTCTCAGAAAGCCTAATCTAAAAACCAACCCGGGAGAACGTAGCATTTTTCTTCTCTGTTGCCTCACGCTTTTTTTTTTCTGATTTCACATTTTCTGATGCTCCAGACACAGCTCTAAAAAAGAGTGTACTGTTCTGCACCAAGCAAAACAAAGCTATGGCTCCACAAAAGGGTTTGATGTTTACTAATCTAAAAGCAGTTTGTTTCCTAAACAGAACAGCAACTTTTCATATTTCTGTTACAAAGAAAAACAACTGTTCCCATGAGAATTTTCCTGCCAGTCCATACAGACTCTCTCTACGTAAAGAGCCAAAAACTGACATATACTGAACTCCTTTTTCCTCTCATGCTTTAACATTCTCCACATTTTCAAGCACTTATATTCACATATTAACAACAGATTTCACAAGGGGGAAGGAAATGAAAAAGCAAATTCACACAAGGAAGCCAGACAAAGAGAAATCTTCATCTGCATCTCAGCAACATAATGTTCCTTTCTGAACAGTGTTGAAACAGTGTGTACACTGTCCAGCTATCAATCTTACTTCCACAGCATTGTCCTCTTTATCTCTGTATTGCAGCAACCTATAAAAATCCTAACATTCCTAAATATTTAGAATGCCTAATTTAGTGAAATGCACATGGCTATGTAATTATGACATTAAAAGATAAATCAGCACACAAATGAAAAACATGAAACATTCAATACTTCATTCCCTACAAGAGGTGGTTTTTGAAATCCTTTACTTCACCTTAGAGGCACTGATTTACAACATGACTTCAGCTCAACTGCTCCAGTTCCTTTTAAAACCAAATCTTGGGCTCTAGAATGAGAGATGTGATTTTTGGAACATTAATCTTTGTGCACACATTAGGCAACTGATCAAAGGTTTCTCTGAAAGAACTGTAATTACATTTCTAGTGAAGGCACTATACTGTCAGAAATCACCAACCATAATGTGCTATTTTTAAACCACTAGTTTAAGCCAGTGGCTTAAGCCTTCCTTGAAACTAGTGACCTCAACACTAAACTAAGCTCATGTTTCAAATATACATTATAGCAGTGGAGGAAAAACTGCAGATTTCCAGCTCACTGAAATAACAAAAAAAAGAAAAAAAAACAGACAGAAAAGGCAAAACAATTTATTTTTACCTTTTCTGGAAACATACAGATAGATACATATGGATCCATAGCGAATACTTGACCTCTCTCCCAAAGGCCCTTGTATCTAGTAGAATGGCCACAGTTTGTAAAAAAACAAAACTCACCAAAGAAACAAGCAACTTTGAATGTAAGTTTTTGTTATTGATCTTAAATTTGAACCAGAAAAGAACCTTTAAGTCCCAACAGCTGGAACTAGCATGAAGAAAACCTGTCTTTTGAAGTGCTTTTTGAAGATCCACAATATGAGGAGACTGAATAGCAGAAGGTCACAAAAACCCAGCTACAAGAGATGTTTCCTACCATGTTTTTGATAGGGAACAGGCATTCAGTCACTATGAAGTTAGCCTGGCACTGGGTCTTGTAACACAGATTTCATTGTTAGGATTAATGGCAGGTAGCAAGCACAAGGTGTGTAACAACTACCAGCCAGCCCATGAAAAAAAGGGAACAGGCCAACAGCTGAAATCCAATGGATTCCAGGAGATGGCTCATTTAGACACTGCCTTTCCTGCTGTCCACCATATTTATTTTGTACTTTTAAAATCAGTAACTTTATTGTTACACTAAAAAAAATGGCAGTGAATAGTAACACTGTTTTCAAGCTCTGCCTGTATTTGCAGATTTCCAGAGTAAGCACCTCACCTCCTTATTGCCTTTCCCTCACAGTCAGGACAGTCCTCAGCTGCATTTGCAGACTAAAGATATTTTACTATTCAGAATGACCCAGCTAGACAACTAATACAATATTTCTCCATTACTTTCACCTGAGCAGTGATTCAGGAATGGAATGCTTTAGAGATATGCAAACCAACTACATAACAGAAACTTACTGCTGCACCCAAAGCAGCTCAACTGTACTTGAGAGAACCTGGACCTTTAAAGAGCTTGAACAAGAGAGATCAGGAATTGTATCCAAATACCACATAATTAGGACTGCCATCCCATCTCTCACATTGTCAAAGACTACTGGAAGCATGATAGATGTTTCGGTTAAAAAAAATAACATCACTTAAAGAATAACTTTTCAAATTAAATAAAACATTTTTCTTGAAAATAACTACACCTTAAAAAGAATATTCATGCACCTTACCATCCATTCAGATATAATTACATCCACTTTTTCCAAAGGCAGATCTACTTCTTCGATTCTTCCTTTGACTAATGTAATAATACTTTCAAGTTTATTTAATCTGCAAGTCAAAACATAAACAAATTAGTTTCTATTTGATTTATGCTGTCAAGAGAGATATACTGACATCTATATTTCACATTCCCCTCTCCCACCTCGAGCTTCTTCTTTTAACTAATCTAGAAAGCAGTAGAACATAATATTTCTCAGTTTTATTTCAGAGGGAATATTTCCAAGCAGTTAAAAATGGCAGCAGATTAAGTGCCAGGCAAAGATGGCAGACTGTAGATCTGTATATACCTCCAACGTGCCATGCATGCAAATGTGTAAGCTTCAGAAACCAGGAAAATAGAGAAGGGGACAATTTAAAAATGATGGTCCTCTCTATTTAAGAGCTGCTTGTTCCCCTTTCTCTTCCTTTGACCTCTACAAATTGTCATCTACAGCAATCAGAGCCTACTCCCCACACTAGGACAGCAATGGAAATTAGCTTCCTCACAAAGCTGTTTTGCACGACTTGGTTTTTTATTTAACCAAACCAGCTGCAAAGTCACTGAGAACAAACATTCCCTCTAGATCAGTATTACACCTATTCCACAATAAAGGCATCCTCTCCACTCTGATTTTGGGCAAAAGCATCTGCAATGTTCAGTACCTGCAGGAATCAGGTGTTACCTCACATGCATGTAATGGTATGACCATCCTGCACAGGGAAGAAGGTTCTGGGACGGGACTATGGGTTTTGAAACAATAACTCATGGCACTGGAACTACTGAGTATGTAAATGCTTGAAATCTACTATTTTTCTTCTTGGCAAACCATATTACAGCCTTTCTTGCACACACCTTTATTACAAAGTTTATTTCTGCTCTTAGGGCAGAAAAGTCTTCTCACCACAGAAATTTATCTCCCACCTGCAGTTCTTATCTCTGCCCCTTCCCTCCCTATCCTGATATCTTACTCTTACATTCTGTCTGGCTTTCAATGCAGACCAGTAATCACACTAAAAATTCAATCTCAAAGACAATGGGAGAACGATCAGAATGAAGGGAGGGAAAGGAGAGGGTCAAAGGGCTACTTGAACATGTGGGCTGTTGCAAAGATCAATTAAATACTCTACACAAGACAGTCTTCTGTTAGAAGAGTAGCAGTGCATCACTGATACCATATTTAATGCCATAAACAAAAGTAAAATCAGAAGTTCAAAGTGAAAAATAAGATGTTAAAGAGCTACCACCCACAACAATAATTTAAGAAGGATAAAAAGAGATCTAAGGACAACTTCCTAAATGACCACAAACAAGGACACAATTTAAACAAAAGAGAAGAAAAAGAGTAATTCATTACATACTTACTTTCAATTATAATGTTTAAAAAAAACTCAAACCAACCAATGTAGTTTACATATTGTAGGAAAAACTGCTGAAATGCTATTTAGGCAGTATACTTCAACTTTCTATTCTATCATAGCAGTGATGGATGACAAAAATCAAGTCATCCACTGCACTAGAAATTTTACAGACACTATTCATAGCAAGAAAAGGCAATCATTTAGTTAAAAGGCAGTTTAAGGCTTGTCAGGCTACTTATTCCAGTTTACTTACACACATGGGTTGCACTTTTTCCAGTAATTAGCATGCTACAAATTAACTTAAGTTTTGGGAGAGACAAAAGCTCTCAGGCACACACTTGAATCACAAGTGGAAGCACACTGCAATAGTAATTTTTAAGCTACACAAAGTTGTTTAGTATTCCAATAAATATTTGTTACTCCAGTGCAAGTTTGTCAGCTTTATTCCCTTAGGAAAAGTAGGTTTAACCAGACAAACATAAATTGTTTTGAAGCAAACTGGAGACTTTTACGTGAACAGAACTCTATAGCAGAAGGTACCTACAAATGTGCAGCCTCACTGATGACTTGCTGTGTACTTCAAGCGGCAATGCATCACTTAAGAGTTTAAGAGTTTTGATTCATTGTTTTTCTTAAAGGTCTGCCCTTTTCCTCACCACAGGTAATACATTTTGACTGGTACTTCTATTCTCCCTCAAGTATAAACAACATTCAAAGGACTCGGAGCACCCGTTGAAAGATACGAACAATCCTAAATTTGTAATCTAGTACACCAGAAATAAAACCCTATTTCACATTTGTAACCATTTTGAAGATGTCAGAGACTCCTGGGAAAAATTCTCTTTAAGGAATTCTCTTTTCATGCTAGAAAAGCATTTTAGTCGAAGACCCACTTACATGCTTAACATGGTACTTTCCCCAAACAGATATTTAATTAATAGAATCACTTTATAGGATCCAAGTGTGCAGTGCTGCACCACCAATGTGTGAAGTGGTACCTAACAAATTCAGCCTAGACAATGTTACTTCTGTACAACTCAAGCTTGTATTAAAAAAAAACCTGTCACTCCCAAATTCTTCAGCATCTACCTGGACTTTCTTTTTCACAGTTGTTCATACAAAATCAACCTAAATGAAAAACCTACATGCCTTGGCTATCTACAGCACACATCTACACCTACATTTCTCCCACCTCATGCTAGGAAACCCTTTTTAAGTCTTCAGATGTCACTGTTTCATTTCTATATATGCTCACAATCTTCCTTAATATCCTCCACAGGTAAATTAGTGACATGTGGAGCAGATAAATGAACCCCGAGATGGGCAGAAAGCTGTCTGTACTATGAAGTTCAAGAGGTGAGAGGAAGAGTACAAATCCTAACTGATAGCCAGGTACCAGAGGTGTCCCTCAGGGTTCAGTGTTAGTTCTGATACTAATTAACACTAATTAATGTAGTGACATAATGGGGCAGAATGCACCCCTACCAAGTCTGTGGATAATGCTGAATTAGGGATGAGCAGCTGATAGGGTAGGGCTCTTATTTTCTATAACACAGACAAATTGTAGAAATTCTAGAAATTATTTAAAATTCCTATACAGAAACAGAAAATTAAACAACTATACATACACACACTCTTGAATAACTTTCACTGAGTTTATCTAAATATGAACTTTCTTTAACTCCAAGTAGTGCAGCCAGGTAAAGTTTCTCACACCTTCTTGGTCTCCAGTGTTGTCTAAAAACTTACAGTTTTATCAGTAGCAACATTAAAAATGTAAGAATGGCAAATGGACAGGCAGTATTCAGTTGGAGCCTGTGCAGCTAGGCAGCACTGGCCCCATGGTACCATTAGGAAGAAGGTCTGTTTTAATTACCCCTACCAAGGGGGCAAACAACTTTATAAAACGCCAAAATCTGTGCTATTTCTTTGGGCAAAGAAGGGCTTCAATAAAACACACACTGTGATAGGTGATCATTAACTAGCAAAAGCATTTTAATAACTTTTTACAATAACATTTACCCTACTTTTCTTGGAACTTTTCCCACCTAATGATGTCCATGGCCTGATAGATGATTTCAGATTGGTCAACTCCAATCACTTTCTTCGCACCTGCTTTGGCAGCAAACATGGAGAGTATTCCAGTTCCACAGCCAACATCCAAAACCACCTGAAAGTCATAAAACAGAAGTAAAATCATCTTATTTTCCTTGCTATGACTTTTCCACACTTATTTCCATGTCAGTGAGAAAACATATTCCAACAGAAGGAACAAATGGTAGCATCAAGTTTTACTGTCACATGTAGAGATACTTAAGTCAAACTGCAGTTCTAAATCCACACCCTCTACCACCTTTTCCAGATTGAGAATTGAAGCAGATGAGCTGCAGATTAACAACCACAAGCAATTATTTGGGCAACTAAAATGTTACATGAAGAGGAGAAAAAGGAATCACTAATAATTGAACTTAGCACTGGTACTAAAAAAACATATTCTAACTGTGGTTTTCATTAAGAGTCTATTCAGAAGCTTTATTTAGGAATTCTCTGCCAGAAATGGTCACAGTGCCCCAAAACAGCTATGGCTCAAGATGACTAATTTCAAAATGGTCACTGGCACAGTTTTAACACCTGGAAATATTTTCTGTCTAGCACTGTTTATAATCAAAATAAGACCAAAAAAATCCAGTAAGGTTTCATGAAAGAAGAGTAAACTTCATCACCACACCTGAAAAAGTACACTCAGCTCAGCAACAAGATTCATGAAAATGCCTGGGGTTTGGTATATCACATATTAGCTACTGTAGAAGACTGAAAAGACTGAAAAAATGCAAAGCAACTAACAAAAGAGTACCAAACTTATTACTAAGTAGAGATGAGCTGCCTGCAATGTTAAACCTCATAAAGAGAGATTTTACCAAGCAGCCTTGTTCAGGCCTTGCTATCAGAATAGTGTATTTCTCCTACCTGCTGCAAACTTTTCAACACTTAAAAACTGATGAATGTGTTGTAGTAGATTTTTAAGCTGAGTTTCAGGTTTGATGTTTTCACAGAATCGCTGAAGCTGAAAGGCACCTCTGGAGGTGATGAAGGTGCATTTTATTGCATTGGTCATATCATCAGAGGTCTTATTGTTAGAATTCTACTTAATATAGCTAAGCTTTACTAATGGTGTTAAAAAACTCTCAGCACTAAACCCCAAAACTTTCTGAAGTCTGAAAATCAAAACAAGTTTCCTAAACACTAGGTATAGCCACTCCTACCATGTAAAGCATTTAAGCATTAACAGAACCAGAAGAGAGACTTCCTTTCCCATATGAGACCCTAACATGAGAGTAAGTACAACTTCCTCAACACTTCTAAGTCAACCAGAACACTGAGTTAGAATTATTAGTCATAGCAACAATTTATTAGAAAGGAAAACTTCTTTCACCATCTCTCCTCTTCAGAGCATCCAGTGCTGTGAAACTCGTCTTCACAGCTTTTGTGACATTAATTTTTTTTCCAGAGAAGGCATCAATTTCCTCAAGAATCAATCCCTCCTTTGAGAATTATAACCCCATTTTACAAAATATTTCAAGGTAATAATGCATCCTACTGAAACATTTTTCAGCTCATGAGCTACTGAGCCTTCTTGCTTCAGCACAACAAAGCTTTGCATGTGCACTTTTACATCTCACCTGCAAATAGCATCCAAGTAAACCCTGGAATGCACTGCACCTTAGGTCTGCCTGCCTTCTCTTGTCTACAATCCTATACATGGATACAGAACAACAATCCTGATGCCAGCATGAATAAAACCAGCTGTTTATCCATAGCAGTACAGAGTAAGTGAGCTTCTGCTGTGGTGTTCTGGGAAGCAATGACTGAAGAATTGACTGCCACCTGTCTTGGTAGAGTGACCTACTACCTGGAATCACACTAAAAAATGTTAGTGTGATGAATTTTTTACAGCCCCTTCTGTAGAGGTTGGCCAGGGAAGTTGTGGATAGAGTTATTTGTTCCACTCTCAGCTCTTTGCAGCTACATTTCAAAGGAGTCAACTCTACAGCCCTCAAGTTACATATGAATATGTTATGGCTACAGAACTCCCTAGGCTGAATCTGCTGGAGACAGGAATAGAAAATAAAAATCAATATTCTTGCAGCTGCTGAAACCTCACACCCCCCAACATCACCTATTTTAACACTCTACCCATGGTAGTTAACAAAATCACTGAGCCATGAAAGCTGGAAGTCACAGCCAAAATTAAACCCCTGTGAAAGAATGATCTTGATGTACAGTTGCATGAAAGAGAGCAATCACCACAAATTGGAAAAAAATCAAAACAGACACCACTTTGGACATCTGCCCTGGTCACTTAAAGAACGCAGATGGAACTCATCTAGCCTTAGGCAGGGGATGGGGGTGGAGAAAAAGGCACCAGAGAGAAAGTATACAAGCTGGAATACATCTGAGGAACAGAAAGACAAGCAGAATGATCACCAATTAGCCCAAGGACAAGGGTCTACAGCTCACATATTCTTGTGGTGATCACATATGGCCTCTCACCAAGGACCTGGAGCATCTGGACTGGCGCTTTGACTATACAATAATACACTGCAGCACCACCTCCTTCTCTGCAGTGTAATCAAAAGTGATATTCTACTTTAAATAACAGAAAAAATTACTTCTAATTCAGAAAAACAGGAGGCCAGGTGATTTGGCCAATTAAATCAATTCCATCGATGAACTCTTAGTAGGAACAATGTTTTAAAAATCTCATTTTATTCCCTGAATATGGCATCGATCTTGCCTCAGACTTCTATTCTACCACAAAAACTAAGCATGGCAACAGTGCTTTACTAAGCTATTTTCTCTACCCAAAAATACTCTCACTGTAAAATGGACCACATTTCCTTTTACTGAGTACCTTAACTACTCCTGCTAGGTAATCTAAATTGTCCTATTCTCATCTCAAAGACATTTGACAGGTTGAAAATAAAGGCAGCAAGCAGGATTCATACAAGTTTTAATAATTTATTTTGAAAGCTGAGTTCTGAATAAAGTATGCCTAATAAACAAACCTAGATATTCTGTTCCAATCTGTCACCATGCAACCACACCTCTTTAGGATACAGCAGATTTGCATCAAAAGTGAGTACAAGAAATTCAGCTCTTTGAACAAGCTCCTCCCAAACTACCTCACAAGTGTCCTTTTAGAAACAATAAAAAGCACTGCCATGTATTTTGCAGGGAGAAATAAAATATGGGAATTCTAGGAAATAGAGTACCAGAATTTTACCCACTTTAAAAAAAAAAAAACTGTAAAGAAACTTTAAGGGAAAACAGCCTTTTTCTTTAAGTTGGAAGTTTCATTCATTAATATGGTTCTGAGAGCATTATATGATATATTAATTTAAGCAAAATATCTTCGTATTTTCTTCAGCAGAAGTCTAGAACTCTGAAAAAAATCCCCTATGTTCTCCATAACTGTGTAGCATGTGAAAGCTACATCAATGTTTGGTCAGACACAGAAGTCAAACAGGGCACTGGTCACATGGATGGGGGTTATTGGGAACTCAAAGCATTTGAGAATCTGCCTTTCAATTCAATCTCAACACACAATGATGGGTTTGGATTCACTATGAATTTGAGGTAATCTTGATCAAAAAAATGTTGTAAAAAACATGTTCAGAAATCAGTTCTAGATGTTGTGATAACTGAGAAGGTTTTCTTCAGAGAAGTTGAATGGTTTCACAGCTACAGAGTAAGCACACACATTCTCTCAGTTGTTTCTTGAGCAAATGTGTGTACTTTGGGGGCTGAAGCACCATTGACTCTAACAGTTAATCCATGGTTTGTTTTGAATGTTTCCAGTGTGTTCATACAGTAGAGGAGAAATAAAACCAATTCAGAAAAATTACTGTTCCACAAGGACACACATTTCATGTAACTTCATATCAGTCTTGCCCTGTGAAAACCTGCAGTTATCAATTTCAGGGGCACCTGTGAAACTAAATTTCTCCCAGGAAAGTTTTCTTTCCTTTATTGATTTTTCTGCTTTGCTGTATGAGCTGCCCACCTATGCAGTCACCTGCATCATTTAAGTAGCTGGCAGTATAATTCTACAACACTTTCCCTTATTCTTTCATTGTAACTAAAGAGTTTAGAAATGTTTAACAGAAACAGGCTTGTGACATGAACTGAGACTAGAAAAGGAAGAAAACTATTTCCTAATTTTTTCTGCTGTAGTTTCCAACTGAAAACTGAAGTAAGATACAAAAAATAGCCACTATCAACCTTGAAACACCTCCTGCCAGGGCAAAACTCTCTCTCTCACCTCTCCTACAAAGAAAGGCTGAGAGAATTGGGACTGTTCAGCCTGGAAAAGAGAAGGCTTAGGGATGCCCTAATTGCAGCCTTCTAGTACCTGAAGGGAGCCTACAAGAAAGATGGAGACTAGTTACAAGAGCATGTAGCGACAGGACAAGGGGGAATAGATTTAAACAGGAAGACAGTAGGTTTAGACTAGATATTAGGAAAAAATCCCTCACTGTGAGGGTGGTGACGCCCTGGGACAGGTTTCCCAGAGAAGCTGGGAAGTGTCCGAGGCCAGGCTGGATGGAGCTCTGAGCAAGCTGCTCTAGTGAAAGGTGTCCCTGCCCATGGCAGGGGGGTTGGAACTCGACGACCTTTAAGGTCCCTTCCAACCCAAATCATTCCATGGCTCTATGAACTCAAAACACAGCAAAGTAATCAGCCAGCAGAAAGACAAGGGACAAGAAGAGTATCATAACTGTACAGGGGTCACAACCACTGTAAGGTCATATCAGCACAATCCTCCTCACTGCAAGTGAAACATCAGTGCCTCGTTCTAAGCCCTTTAATAACAATCTGCTCTGGAGACACTGAACAACACTAATTCAAAAATCAGTTACACATGAATTCTTTTCCAGCTCTAATAACACAGGGCTTCCAGGACGTTTTTATTGTATCAGGCATACATAGAAATTCACTTAATTCTGGTAAAGAGGCCCTCAGAGAGATTGCACCTAATACACCGGACAAGAAAGGCTCAGCTTCACCCCGCCGACATAATTAATGAGCATCCCAACGTGGCACACAGCACAGTGACAACAGCCATCACCACTGCTCTTATCAGCACTGTGCACCCTCCAGCAGCTGAATAGCTTTCCACCACCTAATAAAGCCACAGTACATTAAATCAAATCCTGTCACAGTGCCATTCTCCATTCTCAGAGCTACAAAGTAGCCAACCTGAAGGTTTTCTACCATTTGAGAAAAAATTAACCACAGAAATGACTGTATTTTCTGAGCTGTTTTACCTACCTTGTCCTTGAAGATATGTGGGTTTTGATAGATGAAGTCACGATAGCTTTCTGTACGTACTTTATCCTGTTATTTAAAAGCAAAAAGTGTTCATTTTTTTCACTTAGGTACAGCGTGTCATTCAAAAATACTGAAAAACTTCTTTTTAACCTGACCTAAAGATGTTCTGTGTATACTGTACTTACAAGGGCTCTGCAATCATGACACTGGCCATGTAATATTACTTCAAAATTTACTGTCTTTGCAAATGAAGTCAGTTGCCTCAGCTGGATGAAAAATAAGAAATTAGCTCATGGTTTCCTGACCTGCTGCATTTCATTTTGAGTGTTTCAAAGTTCTTAATACCTCTTCATCACTTCCCAGGAACAGCAGAATGGCAATACTGCACCAACTTTACATAACTTCCTCTACAATTTGAAACATTCAAATCACAAGTTCATAAAACATTTTGTATCACTTTATTCTCTGACTCTCCTGTGACACAAGAGATTTCTTTAAAAAAAACCCAAACGTTATGCATCAAATTAACCTGTTCTATTTCTGAACAAACTGCAAATTTGCAAACCTAGCTAGCAAATAAAGCTGTACAGTCCATTCCATAAAAGTCAATATAGTAAATATATTTGACTGTAATACAACAGGGCTGGAGAAGCTGGAATGTTTTCAGGCATAGAATGAAACATTTATAGTATCCTAGTATATCAAAGGTAGCAATATGGCTCAGTTTACCAGCAAGATAATCTATTAAAACACTGATTGTCTTACATTGATGTATCAGCAGGTACACAAACCGACAGCCAAGTATAGGTTTTGGAATTGCTGTTGCAGTTCAAGTGTTACAGTAAAGTAGAAAAAAATTTTCAGCTATTTTTTATCTAGTGCAAATAATGTTGAAGGATAAAATCCAAGTGCTTTTATTAAATCTAATATTTTTATACTATGGTAAGGTAAGAATTTTTTAGAAACAGCAGAGAAACAAAAGAAATTTTCTACAGTGAGAAGGAACTAAGTCTATTTTGATAGAAAATTAAGACCAAAACCAGTGACTGAGAACAAAGGCTTTGTCAATAAAAAATCTGGAGACGGAATTATTCTGAGGCTCGAAAATTCTAAAATCCAGTTTTAAATGTAGAGGTATTATCACACACAACCCAAAGAAACAGGGTTGATTTTAGAAAATTCCACTTTAAAATTATACATAAGTAATGAATAAAAGAAACTGTGATCCTTGAAAACCATATTAGTTTACTGTGATGTTATATTCAGAGCACCTATTTTTAGAGCTTCACCTCTACTGCAGCATATCACAGGATTTTGCTGAAACGACCAAAAAAGTTTAAAAATAAATAACCAAAACTGGAATGTTCAGCATGAATTGAGAAAGCAGTCAGCTGGAAATCTTTCAGCCTCACATCCTGCCCACTCACACTGCCTCAGCACGGCCCCAACTGAATCAATACAATTCGAGTTGCTGCCTCCAGTCAGTCACTTCAGGTGTCTCTGTCCATCAGTCCTGCTCTCTCACTCCACATTTGCACGTGATGCTTTTTGGTTTTGTTTATAAGTAAAATGGTAAGAACATTTATTAAGATGACAGTCGAGGAATTCTTGAGCAAAACGGCAGAGCAAGGAAAACACTTGCCACTTGGCCAGTGTGAAGTAACAACATTCTTCCTCCCACCTCTGAAGTGTTTGCAGGAAAAAAAAAACCCAACCCAAACTGAAACTTCATCCTACCACTACCAGGCATAAAGAAAAAAAAAGTTTAAGACTGAACAATGTCAGAAACAGATTTACAATTCAGACAGCAAAACTCCTTTCCTAAAAATTGTCATGTACCAAGTCACTACATTTATGTAAATAAGGTAAACATGAAAAGAAAAGAAAAAATCCAAGTGAATGCCTACCATACAGGAAAAATTTCAATGTACACACAATGAAAAATAACTGGTGTTGTATGCTTTGGAAACTCAAAAGTCTTCCTAAAAGCTTTCTGAGAAATGTACCCTGAAATCAATAAAATACAATTTTGTACCAATCTCCTTGTGCAGAGATGTAGATTTATTATAAACTTTACTCGTCCTATAGCCTATAACATCTCAAATGTCAGCTTTACACCACTGCAAAACCAAAAACCCATCATTTCTATCTTTCTTTCAAGACTTCAGTTATATTTCTATAGACTATGCATTTTGGAAAACATCCTTCTACTTCTGCAGCCATGTCTGTGCTTCTGTAAAATCCCCTCCCCTTAATATTAATCTCATGCTTATACTATTCTTACCACAGATTCACATGCATTTCTACATTGGGCCCACTAAATGATTTAGAAAGCTGAAAACTTCCTGTGCTAGCTGCAGGGACAAAGTGACTTCGCAACTCTCTATTCTACCTTTACAAAAGGAATTTTCTTTAATTCTGGCTTAAAATTATAAAACTGTTTATAACTTTCATAATAATGATATCTTCTCTGAAAGGAAGCATTGAGAGATTCTCATTTACATGTCAATTAGAAGCTATTGGGCTTTGTGTTTTTTATTTTGAAGTTAAAATAGGCTTGCCTTTGAAAAGTTTTATGCATTAATTTTATCTTTATCATATAAAAGGAGCACACTTGTTTTTTCAGCTGTTCAATGTCATGCTATAATACATTGAACCAAGCACAAGTACCAATTTCTGTTTACCTAGTGCAATAGGAAACCACAATATTTGAGAAATGGTCTTGCCTAACAAATTTCAATTGTTAGGAAAATTTAAAACTAAAGAAAAATATTCACTGTCTGTTCTATGTTTTATCCTCTGTCTTTTAAGCATGCAGAAAAAAGCTGCTTTTGGCAATGTCAGGCTGTGTTACTGTAATATCAAGCATACTGGTACATGATTTCATATTCCTAATGCCTCCTGTAAACAGAATCTATACAAAGGAAGTAAAACTGGAAAAAGATCTCTCAGCCCAATTCTTGGGGAAAAAACTATCCTGGATAGGAAGGGTTAAAAATGCAGCTGCTCTGCAGTATATTTATGGGCACAGAGCCCACTTCTTTCTCTCTTCTCTTTAGTCCTACTAAGATGCAGGTGAGGTGATTTTCTAACCTTTAGCATCTCTTCGTGTATCCCATAATGCCCATAGGAGCTGAAGTAAACACCATCCTCATCCTCCTGAAGGTCTGCAATGGCGCTGGATGATGAGCTGCTCCTGACATCTGTGTTCATCACAAAATCCTGGGCAAATCGTCTGTAATCAATTTGAAATATACCCTTGAGACATGTTTATGGGACCATGAAAGCGAGGGGGGGAGGGTGGGGCAGAAAGGGCTTGGAAGAGAGAAGGAATCCAGGCTGCTCAGGGCTTTGCCAACAATGGGCCTGGCTTTAGGTGTGCACATCCTCCCTCTGCAGGCTCCTCAGGGCTGCTGCACCACTGCAATCCCTGCTTTCTGCTTACAGCGAGCAATTGTTCACAGTGAAATCCTGAGATTTAGTTTCTATTTTTAAGGAAGGATTATCTATATTTTGCTCGCTGGCACCAAAGCCAGCACCACGGTGCTTGGGGTGTTTCAGGCTGTGCAGTGCAGATATGGACTCAACTGAAAGAGCACAAGAACTACAGCCCACACAACACTGTGTGACTGCTGGGAGGCAGAAGGAAGTATTTTAAAACTGAGCATTTGGGTGAAAACAAAACAGAGCTTAACATTGAATTTGTTACTTTAATTTCATGCTGCTTATTTTTCCTCCTCCGTGGTCTTGCATTCCTAAAACACATGAGGAAAAGCTGAGAGAATTGGGATTGTGCAGCCTGGAGAACAGAAGGTTCCAGGGTGACCCTTCAGCACCTGAAGGGGCTACAAGAAATCTGGAGAGGGACTTTGGACAAGGACATGGAGTGACAGAACAAGGGGGAATGGCTTTAAGCTGAAAGACAGTAGACATAAATCAGATATTAGGAAGAAATTTTTGACCAAGAGGGTGGTGAGCTTAGAGCTCAAAAGAAATTGCTACTGATGACCTGAAGTAGGGTTTTTGTTTTAAATGAAAACGAATGGAACAGGAGGAAGACAAGAAGACATAAAGAAAAAAAAGGCTAAGTTTTCAAAGCACAGTGCCAAATTTGTTTCATTCTTACTGTTTATGATCAATTAGCGCATAATATACCCAGAGACACCAGAGAAGACCTGTGTGCTAAGAAGTACAATTTGCAAAAGGTAAACCCAACTGAAGACAAACCTCCTTATTTTTGAAATAAAGAATTGTTCACAGCTGAGAAGATCTAAATACATGAATTTATTTTGGTCTACTTAGTTACTTATAACACCAAGTGTGTAATATCAAAATGTACAAGCCCTCAAATGTATTTTACAAAACAAGTCTTTTGCTGATTAACTTCCTTGCAAATGAACATGAATTATTTTTCCAAGGTCTCCTAAATACAACTTCAGTTCTTCGGTGCCCAACCAGTGTAATCTTGAAATGACATGTTTGTACAGGATTTGATCCTGCATGTCCCATTTTATCCATAAGCATCATCAATCCGTATTTTGCAGACCTCAAGATTTAGAAGTCAAGTGTACAGCTACAGGGATGTCCTGATTCCTGACTGTGATGAACTGAATATTTTCACTAACAGAACCCACATCCAAGACTGAAAAGTAGCTGAAAAAAGTTGATTTCTTAATTTCACTGAGAGTTTCTCCAAACTGCAAGTGGACTCTACCACTAACAATCATTGTTTGGAGCCAACTCTGACAACGTTTGGAGTCCTGTATTTAATTTGTCAGTCTCTGCTCCACTGTGTACACCCTCAGTGTTTACATTCTTATCTAAAGGACTAACAGAAAAGTGTCTCAAAAACTAAGTGGTCTGAAGCAAAGTACATGTTTCTGAGCCATGTGCTTGCTTAGCTTTCCCAAGCATACTCTGGTTTTTCAAGCTGCGCAAGTTTTGTGCATTTTTTACTAACCACCTAAAAGACATTTACTGACCCTCTACAACGCACAAGTCAAACCTGCAGTCCCAACACAAGTCAGGAGGTTACACTCTACAACATCTTTGAATTTCTACTGTCTTCTCACCTAAAACACACCAAATAAGAACACCCCAAAACTTCAGTTCAAACACTTACTTCATTTTCTGAAGATCCTCCTGTGCTCTAGCCAAGGCTGCTTCTGCGGCTCTTGCTCTGTGTTCTGTGTGTTTTAACTGTTCAAGGAGCACTGTGGTATCATTTAAACCATTACAGGGCACAACGTTTGCAGGTTCACAAAGATCTTCTATATCTGACGAAATGAAGAGGGACAAAAACTCACCTACCAGTCATGTGTCACTTCACAGCAAATCATTAACATAAAATGCTATTTCTGTCTTTGGATGATTTGTAAAAGTGGGCTGTTTTACAAGACATGATTGAATTTAACAGGACTAACTGCAGAACACAACACTACTCAGAAAAAGCAAATATGCTAGAAGCATGCTCTAAGTTAATAAAGCAAATAAATCCAAAATTCAGGCTTCTTTAAATACCAGTGTTTGATTAACCATAGAAGAGACATTTGGTTTAGAGTATAATTAAGTTAATTACAGTTCTATCCTGCTTTTTTCCAGTTATGTTATTCTGAGGCTGAAAGTGCTGTTAACGGTAATGGGAAAAGGTAAGAAATTATATAAATTTAAAATGTCTTAGTAATTAGAGAGTAACTCTTAATTTTCAAACCAATTCCTTGGGCTTTTATAAAGCTTACAAACACACAAAACAGAAGAGCATAAACAGAGTGAATCTAGATGAAACACTGCTTTTCAACTACAACGCAGACTCAGCACTAGGTCCCATTCACCTCTTGCTAAATTCAGCTGATTTCAACAGGTGTCAGTGGAGAAAAAAAAATGATGCTACTGTGGTTTTGGATATAGTAGGAAGTTACTGCCAGCTGACTGAGCAAAAGACTAAAAAAACCATGTATCTGTTCTTTTTAATCATGGAAGACTGTTTGAGCCATGGGACTGAAAGAAAGCATTTAATATTTCAGAAGTTCAGCTCACGCCCATAACCCTTAAGCAACTGCAACTGGCACATCAAAGCACCTCAAAAGTCTATAACTTGGGCAAAGAGCACACATTAGGCAGGGGCTGATCCAGGGAAATGTGAACTCTGAAGCAACCAACTCATGTCCTCTAGCAGGCACTATCCCTGCTGCCATGCAACAGGGTTCACTTAGAAAGGGGCAAAACTGCATTCCAGAGTGTAGAGAGAACAAAAAAATCCACAAGCCCTAAGCACCTTATGGTTTAGCTGAAAGATGTGCAGGTATAAGAGAGTGAGAGGATCACGGGTAGCAAAAATAATTTCAAAAGTCAAACCGAATTCTCTCAAGAACATCTGACGAACTGTCATGAGAGAGAAACTAAGGCTGCTTGCTCTGATCCCCAGAACTACTAAAGAATTAGAACTTTTGTAGGTTGCTCCAAAGTAGAACCTGTATAAAAGATGTTTTCAACAAGGCAAATTACTTGTAGCACACATTTTTGAATGAATGCATCAGATTTTAAATATCATCTATTTAAATATCTAAATATTGTGAAGCTTTAAAAGCTTCACAAATCTCCCAATGAATGTCAGGTGGAGTGTCTCTTTGACCAGCATAAATACTATACAGAGCATCTCTGCTATGAGAATTTGCTACAATAAGCAAATACAGGTAATAAAAAAGGGCTATGGAAATCTCAGTCAGTAAAAACAAATGCACAACATGCAGTAAAAATATCAGAGTGTAACTTACTGTCATGACTTCAGCTACTATGTGGACTTTCTCATGTATGTAAATCAACTGAATAACAGTGGCATGAACTCTGACAATACCACATTTACCCTACAATGCAGTGCAGTCATATTGAAACAGTATTTACCAAACTGAAGGAGGAGATCATCTTCTAGTTCTGGTTTCAGATATTCCTCTCCTTTCCAAGGCAGTGGGCTGCTGAGAGAACTCAAATATGCTCCTGTTGGTTTCTAGACAGGGGAAGAGCGTGTAAGCTAAGTTTCTTTGAAAACACCAGCCCTTCAGCCTGATTCAAGAAAAAAAGGCCAAGACCTGTTCTTTCACACATTCAAATATACAGGGTATTACTGAAGGAACTTTGTAGCAAAGGCTGAGAAAGCCCAGGCAGCTACAGCACCAAGGAATTCAAGTAAAGCACTGACTGAAGGATACTTGCAGGATTACACTGCTATCGGGAGCCAAGTTTACTCAGGTGTTTGGCTGTGTCAGCCTCTTAGCTTCCAAGAGGGCTAATCAATAAATCCCAGATGCTAATCCTGTCAGGTGTTTTTACATGAACACTGCTGCAGGGACTAATGTCAGAAACGCTGCATTCTCTCCTACTTGCATCCAGCCAGTTAATACTTTGTCAGGAAAGGAAAGGTCAGATTCTGGACTTCAATTTTTGCCTTTCTGTGTTTACTCTGCATAGACAGTTATGCATTAAGTAACTATTTGAGGATTTAAGATTTGAGGATTTAAGTTAAAAAGTGCTTAATGAGGTAAGATGGTATTAAGCTTAAACCTAAACTTCTAGGGAACAACCAAGGAACATGCTTCAAAGTCACAAAACACACAAAATACACCCAGGCCTATCTTAAAATTGTAGGCTCCCATTAGCTTTCCTGATTCTGGCATCATTTAGCAGAGATTAAAGCTCTGTAGCCTGAGGGATCAGGCGTTGTCCTTACTAAGTAGGGGTCTGGCCAGCTCACACCCTCAGGAAACACTCTTTTACACCAACACACAGGCAAGGACTGAGAAACTTCAGTTATTGACAAGTGAAGCCATTTCTGAAGCAAGACAGCAAAGGCCAAGACAAATTAACAAAACAAGATGATACTACACAGCATGGAGGCTTTTTGCAAGTCTAACACCCTCTTCTGAAAACAATAAAAATCACATAAGTTAAATACAATTTAAATTAAAACAACTTCATATCTAAATAAACCAATCAACAGCTATTATAATTCCTGTGATTTCTTATTTCTAGAATTACAATACAAAATCTCATGCAGTTATTAAAAAAGGGCAAACTGAAAGCACAGTGCCTTGATACTGTATTCTCCAGACACAGATTACAGAAGTAGTATGTGGCACACCTACCTTTAATCTGATGAAGTTTATTAGTTTAATGTATCCATAAAAATTGAGTCCTGAGAGGGGAAAAAAAAGAAAAAAGGGAGAGAGTTTGCATTACAGAAAAGCACACATACTTTACAATTAAATGAATACTAATTGCTTGTTCAAGTGGCCAGTTTCCCCTTGGGGTGTACATCACTATCTAGTGCAGTCTTCCTATCTTAAGCCTGCCATCTATGTTTTTCTTCTCCTTAGGATTAAACCAGGAAATTCTCACCCTCAGGACAAATACATTTGCCACAAATTAAGAATGGAACACATCCAATTGGGGATTATGAACAGGGATTTCATTCATCTGGCAAGCAAGCACTTCAGGACAGCCACTAGCTACCCTGCTGATATTTTATGCTGTTGTTCATTTTTAGCTTTCTGCTTAACAGAAATCACATTGATTATAGTCATTAAGAATACTTACCAACATTGATTTAAAATTGCCACCTAGGCAGAAACAACAGTGGCTTAAGTATAAATATGTACTCTCACCAACAAGACCAAAGACAGAATACTTTACCTTGGATTTTAGACAGAAAACAGACCAGATCTTACAACTTCACAGGCAGATTTCTAAATGCTTCATGTAGTTCCCATCCTCTTATCTCACACACTCCTTTTCAGTGAACACTCTTAAAACAGCATTTCTCCAACACTGTTTCCCTTCTCCTGCTTTCCACTCTTCCTCTATATGCACTAAAATACATATTTTAGGCTCAGTAGCTCAGCACTTACCTCTTTCAAAGCCCTCCCTACTTCACATACATCCTCCTACACGTACTTTCCTTCAGTCATCACCTTGGCCTAAACACAGCTTCAAGTGAAAGTCAAACTTCTCCTAGAAAGAGTTAAATAGACATTGGAGGGTTTGCCCTCCTGTGATCCTTTGAGGGAACATAAGCCAAGACTGCAAACAGCTGCTCAAAAGACATGAGCAGCACAATCCAGCACCTGCCCTATGGGTGGGTACATCCTTGGTGTCTGCTTAGCTACTGAGCCCAACAACAGCATCACTAGACAGGCAGGAGTTCCCAAGATCAGGTAAACCACATAGTGGGCTGGCTCACGTAGGCAGGGAGGATTCAGCACACCAGCACAGGCCAGCAGAGATCAATCTTACTTTTGTCACTAGTCAGGAGCATTATGAGTAGATAAAGCACACAGGAAGCAGCCAGCATAAAGTATAAGCATTTTTCCACATAGCTTATCTTGTTCAATCTTGGAAGTTTCAGCTGCAACCATGAAATCCATTAGAAATAAACCAATGCTTGCAATTTATTTTAAATGAGGCACTCATACACAAAAGGAAATGACAAGTCATGAAAAAAACTTACCATGTTTCTGGATCACATCACTAACATTAAACTCATGCTCTGTTTTGCAGTGAGAGAACACAGCTTCAGCAGAACTGAACCACCTGTAAATAACAAATTATTAAGTATGTAATAACAACACATTTAGAAGTTCTGAGTTCCATATGCTCTGTTCTGACCTACTAGGCAATACATTCAGAACACATTATCTGCCTTTGAGAAGGGATGCACAGGTAACTCCTTATTCATATGCCTCACAAAGAAACTTTTACCTTGTTTGCCAAACATTTTGAAACAAAAGACAACAAATATAAAAATTTTGTTTGACAAAGCCACAAACCCTGTGAACTTTCAAAAATTCCTAGAAAGCAGAGACTCTGTTAAAGCTGAAATCTAAGAACCACATACAGGAGGTGGGTGGGCCGGCTGGATCTGCTGCATCCA